ACCCAAAGCAATTTTCTTTATTTTCATGCCATTCAGGTTCTTATAAAATGCAATTAATCTTCTTCCTGACAAGTCTGAATTTGAATTGCATGAGCTAAAATTTTTTAAAATGTCACTAAATTATAAAACAAAGTTTGATTACTGAAACATTTACAAATCCTAACCTCTTTGAAGCAATGAAAACTACAGCCTTGTGTCCAATCTAGGTATTTCTAATGCAGAAAGTTCATTTTTGTTCAAAAAAGCCAAGACAGAGCTCCCTTCCCCAACATTATTACCCTCATGTGGAGAAAAGGTGAATAATTAACAACTAGGAGCTCTGCGCAGCCTTATTAGCGGCACAGCACCGTGAGTGTTCTACGAGATATTTTTAAATCGCATCATGACCATCTTTACTCTGACAATTGAATTAAAAGCCACCCCTTATAAAAATACTAAATGAGGATTTAACATTTCTACAGTTTCTTCAGAGGGTTATTAGCTGACAGAAAATCTTGACCAATTATTTCACAAAACATAAAATTTTAATTTATAAAATAATAAAATCCTCTTGTCAAGCTACAGATGTCTTAAGTTATGATTAACGTTATGAAGGCTACATTTAACACATGCATGTGCAATATGCTTAGGCTGCTGTGGTAACTTTTAGGATTGGTAAGGAACAGAATTTGCTTTGAAGCAGAATGAAGGCAGGTTCACCTTTCTTTTTACACAAAGTTCTCGTACAAAGATTTTGGGGAGTGTTAACTATTACTTATCAAATCATGCAGCTTCTTATGCAAGAATTACAGGGGCTTGGGACATTAATCTCTGCAAGAGCAAATATCAAAGTTTACAATAGCCTTAGTTGCTGGAGTGTGGTATTTCACTGAGCACAGTACAATCTAATTTGCAGCACATACATAAAAAACTACTGCAAAAGAAAGCCCTTCAACTGGTTTTTTCCACTCAAAAAAAAAAAATCTTAATTAAGCACAAGGGTAAGAAATTTTGGAAAGTGTGAATGAGACACAATCATCTGATTAACGGAAGAACACAGAACTGTAATTTTACCTCTAAGCATAGAGAGGCTTTTCAAAACAGCATAAACCGTGCTTACAGACTTGAACATCAGTTCCTGAGACCTCACTACAGAGTCAGAGGTGTCTGATAACAACAAATATTGGAGAGTCTATTCTCTGCCAGACAAAGAGTCATTAGCAATACATATGCAACAGGGGAGGAAAAAAAAAAAGTAAATAACATTCCATAGAAACACCAACAAAGACCCCAGAGCCATTAATGCAAGAGTGCCTCACAGGCTGCTTACAATCAGAACTCTCAAATCAGAACAGCGTGGAATGGTAACCTCTTCTACTCCAAATCCCAACACCTTCAAATTAGCAACACTGCACCTTATGAGGCAACAAGCCACAAAATATTTTTGAGCTCAAAGTTAGAAAGGTAAAACTAGACAAAAGCCTCAGTTCAACTAAGGTAACTTTTTTAATGAGTTGCAGCCAATACAGGTAATCCATCACATAGCGGTAACCCTTTGTTTTCCAATTAATTCTGGCTATTTTCTAGCCAAATTGATTTTACAAGTCAGTTGCAGCAGGAGAGATGAAAATTTAATTTCATAATGAAAGCTAGCACCCAACCTAATCACAAGATAATCCACTGCTTCTCCGCAATAGAAACTTCCTTCCTCAATTACCAATGTGGGCTGACAAACATTAAGTTACATCTAGCAGAAGAGCATCAACACCCATGCAGTTTTCAAAAAACAAGCGGAGTCACTTGTGCATATGAATTTAAGAAACCCTTTAAAAAACAAAACAACAAAAAAACCCAAATTAAAACACAAAAGCAAACAACAAAAAAACTTTCTAGCTTTAATGTTGCTTTATCTCATCCATGTGATGTAGGGCTCGTTACAATTTTAAAGGTACAAATACAATTTTAACACTATTCATTTTTCACATTTTTACATTGATTACCATTTAAATGTTTGTTCTGTGAAGATTCCTATTGCTTCTGAGGAGGAAAAAACCTTGCATATCTAAGTGACAAATTCAGAGACATCTGTTTCAGTTATTTTATTCAGAATATTTGGTTATAAACCCAAACTGAGTAAGAACATCTCTCACAGTATTGCTTTTATCGGCTTTAGCTCACAGGCCTTCACTAAATTAAATCTGGCTCTCCCCTAACAGCAATTAGAGTTCTTATCCCTGTAACTCCTACCCAAGGGATCCTCCTGTCCTAAGTTAGGAATGTCCTTCTAACTTCCAAACGGGTATGTGCATGGACAGTCTGTATCAATCTGAATTAATGTAAGAATTTCCTCCTCTCTTAACTCTCTAACCTACACATTTACAGATAGCAATCAGAACAGTTTCTCCCTGCTTCAGAAACGATTTGTATATAGGCATTAATGGGAAGAGCCTCTTCCCTGCATCAGAGCTACCAATCACGCAGCCATGCAGCAAGTCAAACAGGGAACCTGATCCGACAGAAAACTAACCCAGCAGAACTAGTTCTCTGTCAGATCAATGCGATCCTTTCAACAGCTGCCTGTTAGAGCAGATTAAATGTATCATGAAACTGCATACCGAGAGTTTACAAAGAACTGGCTAGTCACCTTAAAAATAAGCAAACATGGAATAACACCTCATAAGCAGCACTCCGTAAAGCCAGCATTTTCTCTTCAACAGGCACTTGAATCTCCCAACCATCACAAAGGAAGTAACAGAGAGAGAAGGAAAAAAAGCAACATCATTTGAAATCCATAAAATGTGGCCTTGGTTTTCAAAAAAGCATTTGGCTGGACACAGACGAGCAGTACGAAAAGTTCACATTCTCACACAGAAAAAGAGCAGAACTTCTCCAGCTGTGAAATCCACAGGATGAAGACAGCCCACGTGGCTAACAATTATTTTCTTTTCACGATCACCACCAAAACTTGTAAATGCCTCCAAGAACAGGCCATGTTATTTTTCTAATTTAACTGGAAAAGGGCTGTTTTAACTGAACCCATCCCTGAAGACACTATCCAGCTCCTCAGGGAGAGGTACATAGTCTTTCCAGAGGTGAAGGACTCTGTTTCATCAAGTGCTAGCTATTCAAGTTCACAGTGCAATTAACCCTGGCATGGCCAATGCAAAGAGATATAAACTGCTGCTGAACCAAGTTCAGATTGTAACCTCCTTATCCTCAGGTATAAAAAAGATGCTTTAAGAGTCCCTCACTAGGTTCATTAAAAAGAAACATTTATCCAACATCTCCAAAACTATGTTCGCACTTGGTCAAATACATAGAATTTTTAAGTGAGAGTTTTTTGAGGAAGTGGGGTGGGGGGCATTTGTTTGGGTTTTTTATTTTTAATAGTATTGAGACTGAATTTAATCTCTCAGTGGGTCACCTATAGTTAAGAAAACAAATACAAAGTGTTAATGAAAAAAGATGTATTGGACTAAGCACAAGATTTTTAAAACAAGCAGTACAAAATAAATCTCAGTGAGTTTGAAAGAAAGTCATGTTAGCAACTTAGGCTTAGTGAAAGTTCAACTGAAGTAAGACAAGTTCAGCATGTCCAAGAGTCTCATTCAATATAACCTGACCTTAATTTCCTCAGTAGGCATTCACTTTAGTTAAAGAAATAATATCAACATTTAATAGCACCAGGAGATAACTAGGAATAAAGTTTCACTGCAGATAGGTATTTGCCACTCCAATTTAGCATCCACCTGTATAATGGATGTATGCTTATATATAAATATTTAGAAATACATTTTGCATATCAAAACACACAAGCTTTTAAGTGGAAAGGAGAAAGTGAAAAGGACTTTCTAAATTAAACTCTCACTAAGACATTCTACAGGTACTGCAAACAAAATAACTACTGTTTAAATAACTTATATGACTTATGTCACACCCTAGACAAGGATTAATCCAACACCTTTGAGGTCTTTACCTTAGAAGAGGGGTTTGCTCCTCAGCAAAGATACAGCTTATGCTGGTAGAATCACTGCCACTCAGCTAATTTAGATCTATTCCCCAGACCGTGTTAAGTCCTCTGGCCAGTAAACCCACGCCCATGGAGAGGCCTTCACTGGCAGCACTCACTTGACACAGAGCACCAGTCTGGTCCACACCAGCCACCTCCAAGGACAAACACCTGAGCCCTCATCCCTCCTTAGTCGCTTTTCACAGCCCAGGAAGTGAAAACAGAAACACAAAGGCACCACCTGGGTCATCCCATTTTAAGGAAGAAGTACTTTTCTCAACTATTTTGTTTCTGCCTGTGGAAAATAAAAAGCCTAATGACAGAGCTGAGTACACACAACTTGCAACCCAGATCAGTAACATGTAGTTCTGGTTATCATTAGCCTGACAACAATTAGCAATTGCTGTGTAACACTGAAGATAACCAACAGCATCAGCAGGCAAGACTCCTGGATTCTTTTTCATTTGTGTGGCCTCATTCATAAGGAACAGCAGTCACAGCCTTAGAGCTGCCCTTTGCCATTTGCAGTATTTGCTAGCGATTTAAAAAGTTATATAAAATAAAAGCAAGTTTTCCTAAAGTAGTTATTTAGCAACTAGCACATCTAGGTCAGGAGACAAAAAACTTTCCATACGGTTAAGGAGAGACACCTTTTCGCACAGTAAAATTCAAAATAATCCAATCCCAAATATAGGGGATGAAGACTGAACACATCTGATCTGCATTAGGCAGACACGTGAACAAAGCACTGAAGAACAATACGAGAAAGCCCCCTACCTACAGGGCCCTGGGAGGGGGGTGGCAGACGGGTTAAACCTCAGACAGCGAACCAGGACACAAGCAGGGTGGCTGGGGTGCGACCAAGCTGTAATCCCTGGCTGGCCTTACCTGCCAGCGACTGGCACAGGAGCTGGGCCGAGGAGCACAAGGAGACGGGCGAAAGATTAAACGGTGAGGGAGAAGAGGAAAGGGTTTAAAAATATATACTTTAAAAAAATTAAAAGGAAGTCACCACGACAGCAGCAGATCTAGGGGTGAGATTTACCTCCCCCATGAAACCACCGGAAAAATGCAGAGTAATCGAAGCGGATGCACGCACATGTGTGCGCCCACAGACAGATACACGCACACAAGGCACAGGGAACGCATCTGCGGAGCTGCGGGTCTCACTGCAAACCGGCAGGTC